GGCCGCGGACTACGGCGGCCGGGAGAGGACAAGCGCCCTCCGCTCGCTGGCTGGGTTCCCCGCGTGGCCAGCGCGCCCGCTGCTGCCCCTGGCACCGCCCGGCGGCAGAAGCCCCGGCCTTGGCAATGGGGATCTGGGGATGCACTGGTCTTGGCAAATCGGCCAGGGGTATTTGCTTCCGCTACGCTGCAACGTTATTTCAGGAGACCGACACAGCTAAGCTACGCAGCCTGTGGGTAAGGACAACCCAGCTGCCAACCCCATTTTATAGGCGGAAAACTGAGGCGCTAAGTAACTTGCCCAAGGTCACACAGGAAGTCTGTGGTAGGCCTGGGACACAGATGTCCCAAGTGCTGGGCTGGTCCACAGGACCATTCTTCTCTGATATACAGGGTGGCTACGTCTAGACTGGCATGATTTTCCGCAAATGCTTTTAACGGACACGTTTTTCCGTTAAAAGCATTTGCGGAAAAGAGCATCTAGATTGGCACGGATGCTTTTCCCGCAAAAGCACTTTTTATGGAAAAGCGTCCGTGCCAATCTAGACGCGGTTTTGCGCAAGAAAGCCCCGATCGCCATTTTCGCAGTTGGGGCTTTTTTGTGCAAAACAATACCGTGTTGTCTACACTGGCCCTCTTGCGCAAAAGCATTTGTGCAAGCGGGTTTTTGCCTGAACGGGAGCAGCATAGCATTTCTGCACGAACACTGACAATCTTACATGAGATCGTCAGTGTTCTTGCGGAAATTCAAGCGGACAGTGTAGACAGCTGACAAGTTTTTCCGCATGCTTTTGCGGAAAAACTTGCCCATCTAGACGCAGCTGGTATGTCTCTACACTGCAACACTATATTGAAATAACTAGCACTATTCTGAAATAGCTTAGTCCGCATCTACACAGTGGGCAGTTGTTTTGAAATAGTGTTAAAATACTGTCAAGCTGGAGGCCTTCTTACTCCAACTCCTGTAACCCTCATTGTACAAGGAACAAAAAACAGGACTATGTAGTACTTTAAAGACTAACAAGATGGTTGATTAGGTGATGACCTTTCGTGGGTCAGACCCACTTCCTCCAATCTAATTGGCATGATCTAAGGAAGTGGGTCTGGCCCACGAAAGCTCATCACTTAATAAACCATCTTGTTAGTCTTTAAAGGGCTACACATAGGCGTGTGCAGCACCTTTCATTAGGGTGTGCACCCAAATAATTTTTTTAAAATGCCCTTTGACCCCCCCCCCCCCCCATTAGCCACACCTCTGATCCCTGTTAACCATGACCCTGGCCCCCATTAGCCACGCTCCTAGAGGTAACGCTCTCCGGGCAAGATGGGCACATGACCAAAAGTAAAAAGTGTTATGTAACCCCCAACCCAAGGACTTTTCCCACCATCCTCCTACCAATACAGATTAGATTGGCCCCCACCAACTCCCCCACTCATGCAACTATCCTGCAATTACATTAATCCAATGTGTGCGACATTAATGCGGGGGTGGAGAAGCGGGGGGAGGGGAGAAAGTGTTCCCTCTAAGAGTTTCCTCCCATGAGCAGAAAGAATTTTGTGTTGAGCACTAGTACCGAATTCATGTGGCTTGTTTGGATGTGCCATTAATAAATATCTACCTTTCCCCAATGCTGCCATGTCTCCTCCCCTTGCTCCATCAGCTCCCCTGGTGCCTGCTGCCCCCCAGCCCCTCACCCTCCTCTGCTGTCCTGACTTGAACTCCTGCCCTTCTCACTGCCCTCAGCCCTCCTGAGACCTGCCCCCCTCCACCAGCCCTCCTCTCCCCCCTGTGCCCACTCCTCCAGTAGCCCCACTCTGATCATGTGAGCTACCCCTCCCCATCCCTTCGTCTAACACCTCCCTCGCCTCTCTCCTCTAGTGCTGGTCCCCCCCTCAGGTGTCTTTGCCCTTCTGCTTCACCCCCAGAATCCCCTGGTACCTACACCTTCCCTTACCCCTGCATCCTCCTGGTGCCTCCCTCCTTCCCTCACTGCCCCTGCCCCCTTTGCCCTTTTTTCCCTGATGCCCATCCCCTCACCACCCTCTGCCCCCATTCCCCTCATGCCCCTGTGCCCTCACACATGACTTGCTCCAACCCCACCTTCCTCATGCCTACCCCTTCTGTAAAGCATTCTCCCAGCACCTCCCCCTCCAATCCCCAATGCCCTTACCCTCTTCTCTTCCAGCATCACCCAGTCCCCACTCTCACTGACATCTCCCCTCCTGCCCTTTTCCTCATTGTCTCCACTTCCCCCCTAGCATTTGTGTCTCCTCTACCCTGTTCCTTTGGTGCCTTCCCCTTTCTTCCCCTTCTCCCTTCCCATCCGTACAAGCCCCTTCCACCTCTTCCCCTTTCTTCCTCCTCCACCCTCTCCCATCGCAAAAGCCCCTTCCTCTTATTCCCTTCCCCCTCCACCTAACCTTCAGCTTCTGCCTTACAGCTTGCAAGGCTGGAGTCAGAGCCAGCCCAAGCTGCAGGGCCGGGGAGGGGGAACCCCCGG